ATCAGGTTTATGTTGAGCATAGGTAGTGGGGTAAAACAGATCCTAACTTAATAGGATTTACTGGGACTGTCCTTGCAAGTTGGAAGGAAGCAAAATGGTTTAATCTCAGGAACATATTGATCCAGGATTCCTTAATGCTTTGCTGGGTTTTCTAATTGCGAATTCTGGAATGGAGACATTATCTGTCCAAATTGTTATTTACATGTATGTAGAACATTAAGTCTCCATGGTTCACTAAGGAGTTCAAAACAATGAAGCACTTGTTTAATGACTATAGCAGTGGTGGGGAGCTACTCAGAATGAATCTAACTAAAAACAGGTTGGGACTATTTCAGAGTTGTAAAGACTGTGAAAAAGCTGGATTTTTCCTCTTTTGACTACAATCTCATATGGTGTAGTCCTTTGGTTCAAGAGGCAATTACATGCTACACATCAGAGTACTGAGGCAACCTCAGAAACATAATGATGATGCCGATAATAATAATAATAATAATAATAATAATAATAATAATAATAATAATTTTATTCTTATACCCTGCTACTATCTCCCCAAAGGGACTCAGGATGGCTTACAAATGGGACAAAATGCCCACAAGACATAAAAGCATTAAAAATAGGAGCATCATAAAATACAACTAAGATAAAACAGACTAAACATAACAGAATAAAATAGAACTGCACTGGAGCTCCATCAAACCAGGTTAAACAAAAACCATGACCAAGATTTCTAAAATTGGCATAACCAAGCTATACAAGTGCTGGGCAAGGGATAGTGCAAATAGCGTACCACAGGGCTGGGGAAGTGGATGAAGTGCAAATACAACTGAGACTAATCAATCTCGAATGATTGCTGGAACATCCAGGTTTTCAAATCCCTATGAAAGGAGGCCAATGTGTGTAACCTCCCTGGAGAGGTATTCCAAAGTCAGGGAGGCACCACTGAGAAGGCCCTTTCCCTCGTCCCTTCGAGCCATGCTTGTGATGGTGGTGAAACATACTATGACATATTTGTATAACATTTACAAAGAAAAATATCAGAAGCATTTTGATTTGGATTCCATACTGCAGGCTGATTCCATGAAGACACACTTATGTAAGCTACATGTTTGTCCAGTTTTGATGGATGGGTTTCACTTTGTTCAATCTGATAGCATGGAACTATAATATCATATAATCATAGCCAGAAAATAATTCTGTATTTCTTTTAATTCATTTTATTTTGATTGCAGTGACTCTGAAACATAAAAATGCTGATGTTGGGACTTTGAGAGAGGAGCTAAAGAGTGAAAGTTCCTCTCACTTAGCTGGGGGTGGGAGAGAAGCAATCCCCAAAGAAATGCTGGTTTTGGGGCCCCAAAATCAGCAAGAGACATCGTCTAGGAACAGAAGAAAGTAAAAGGACAAAACGACAAAATTTGTTTCAAGTATTACACAAATCCATCAAGAGTAGACACAGAAAAGTCCAACAACTCAAATCATCATATTACCTTCCTGTGGAAACTGCATCAGCATTATGCTAGCCAAGCGCTATGAGCTCTCCCTTCCACTGGCTTCATAAATCAACACAGAAGAATGAAGACTGGAAACTTGGAAAATTAAGACAAGCCCTTTTTTACTTCTTAAAAGTAAATCTAACCAAATTTGATTTGAAGTTTGATGAGCTCTTGAGGTAACAACAATCTTGTCCCTTGTCACTTAGATTGTGCAATTACCTGTCAGAAAACATTCAACTTTGAACCATGAGTTTTAGATATGCATTCAATTGTTACTGTATTTTGATCTTTGTACCAACCATGTGTTTTGGTGTATGTATTTTATTGTGGTGTGTTCTGATATATGCATTTTATCGTACTATTTTTATGTTGATATGTTTTGAGTGTGTAGTACCTCACCCTGAGCCATGAGGAGAGGTAACAAATAACATTGTTATTGTTGTTGTTGTTGTTGTTATTAAATTATCATTAGTACTTGTGGAGAAAAATCATTCCACAGGTGTATCTGTATAACACTATAAAGAAGATAAAGAGGAAATATGTAGGTTTGTAAAGACAAGAAAATTATGTGGGGAAAAAGTTTTACTCTTATTCACCTTTAAATATGTGTAATACTAATGAAATGGAAGACTATTTTAATAACTAAGCATGTTATTTTTGCAACTGTTGCTGCTTCAGGTGCCTCCAGATTAGATCTGATATCAGAGAAATGAAAAAAGCAAATTGCACTCTAACACAACTTTCTGAACAATTATTTAATGCTGATAAATCATACATGTCTTCTGTCCTTTAATAGATTGGAGATATGCTGTAACAACATTTCTTTCTTTTTTAAGTAACAACAATCTAACACAATTTATTGTCTACTGCTGCTCTCTGCTGGAAGTAATTGTTCTATTTCCTATACAAATACCCTATAGATACTGCAAGAGAAATGAATTTATATATTTATATATGAAGAACTGCGCTTCAGTATTAAAATATTTTGAAGCCCTTTTCATTACCCAGATAAACATATTCTCAATTATGCTACATTATTGTCAATAAGCACTGGTATTGCTCTTAATTATAAAACACCAGAAGTCAATAAAATGTACCAGAGGTAAATGAGGAACACCTGATTATCCCTAATCAATACATTGGTACTTTCCCCAGCACTGTATAATATACGCTGATGTTTCTACGAATACTTGTTAAACTCATATTTCAGTCCCATGTTTTGGAACCAGGAGAAGAAAAATAAACAGAGGAAATAGCACAGACTGATTCTTTCTTTATGCTTTTTAATAAATTTAAATCTATTACAGAGTCTTTGCATGGAAGTCATTTTACTAAACATTTTTTTACAAAGAAACAAAAGACAGGCTACTTACTTACCTGAAACAATTATTTGAATGGTAATTGTGAACCATATATATGGGATTATCTGCATCTGTGTAGATTAGTTTCAGAAATTTCTGAAATTTGGCTGAAAGTCCACCCCATACTACACATGTTCAGTACAGTTACCACTCACACCCAATCAGTTCCATATCTGCCAGAGTGACTAGTAATAATCAAGGAAGATGGTCCTAGTAAGTGAAAAGACCAGTGGGTTGCAGATGTTCACAGATGACCAAAGAACCACAGTTATAGGTAGGGCAGCTGCTTTTCTTTATGGTCTTTGTGACTCATATATATAAAATATTGGCAAGCTACACAAACCTGAAAGGAAGGTGAGGACTGAAGCATAAACAAGCCAAAAGATGCAGAATCTCTTGCCTAAACTTCAAGCCTGTAGAACTTTATGAAGATGAATGGTTGAACCCAAAAATGAAATGGAGATGCACAAATGAGAAAGATAGAGGAAGACAGTTTCATAGGCAAACAAGATGGCAGAAGCCACCCATTTAGAAATATGCTGTGAGGAGGCATGATAACTTTGCTTATGAGATCTAGAGCAGAAAAAAGGTCTAGGAAATTTCCTCAAATGCTTTGTCTGATTAACACAGAAAACAACCCCTTGAAGAATTATCTAGATGCCATAAGCTGAGAAGAAAATAAAGAAAAGATGTCAAAAATATGTAACTACAACTGAATATATACATCATATTTCCTTATTACCCCTACAATTTACCCTGATCAGCCCCATATATATGGTTCTCAAACATATTTTTTTGCTTAAATACAGACCTGTTTTATATTCTATTTTTGCTTCTTGGCCACACATAAAACACATTGTTCAAATGTGAGATTCCCAATACATTGTCTGTTTGATATATGGATCAAGGTATAAGTCTCTCACCTTCTGACATAATCAAATAATATGTGTGCTATATCCTCAATTTCACGTAATCCGCAAATACAAATCTGTTCATTATAAGGGATGTTGTTAAATCTCCCATATCTGAATATTGTATCGAGCTGATCAAATCCATCTCAAGTGACTATCTCCCTAAAATGTTTTGACATCTGGATTTTTAGATAGTTGACCATTTACCTAAATGTAAATGTAAATTATTATTTTGTTTGGCTGTACATTTTTCTTTTCTTTCTTGCAGCTGAAAACTTGGTTGTATGTGGATAACAAACAAAATGGATCATAATTTTTAAAGTATACTGAGGAGAAAGCATATAGATAGAATTTTGGCCTGTCCAGATAACGTTTCTTAAAAATATGCATGGAAGAGAAAGAGTAACAGATCCTATTACTCAAGAATGATTTTAGCAAAACAAACTGGCATTTTTATCTTCATTCAGCAAGATTCGATTGTCATACCCAAAACTACTGTAAATTTGTTTAGTTCGAATGCATTCATTTATTATCCAAGTTCATGAATGGCTATCAGTCATGATGGTCATAGTGAATCTCCCCGGTCGGAATATCAATACTGAATACAAGTTGCTGAGAAATAACGACACAAGTCCTGTTTATAAGCTTTCCACATCAGGTTTCAAATTGGATTACCAATACAGAAAATAAAATGGACCTTTACTCTGATCCAAAAGGACTCTTCCTAGGCTCTTAATACTCGGCTGAGGTACAAATTCAAGCTTTGCATGTTTCCGCAACAGAATAGTAAGCATGCTTTCAATTACTTCAGTTCTTGCCTTCGAAACACCCAGGATGTAAATACACTTACAAAAGGAGACAGTTAGTCTCAGATTATTTTGTTGTGAATGTTACATCAGTTAAACCATTCCACTAGTTTACAGTATACTATAAATGTTTACACAAGGTCTGAACTATAAAATATTTTCACATAACTATTTCAGCTTGGAAAGAATGATGCACTGTTAAAATTTGCGAGGCTTCTGAGTAGCCATTCTATATCTCAAGATCAAACAAAAACCTCTGCAGATCATCTGGAAAGTTGCAGGGAAATATTAGGTTAAACATATTACTGTTCCATGGTCTCTCAGATGGTAAATGTAACCAGGAAGGTATAGCTTATGTATTCTAAAACTACATGTTTAGTGTAGAGGGAAATATTAAAAAAGACATGCTCATAATCCAACTATACTGACCTGTCTGTATGTTCCTTCTAACAAGGTGTCCAGATGTTGAAGAGGAGCTGGAGTTTTATCTTTAAAGCGTGCCAGCAGGCGTCGTTCAATAGCTCTAAACTGTATTGCTCTTTCAGATAATAGTTGCTCATATTTTGCAGCATTCAAGCGCAGCTATAATTCATAAAGATTTTTAAAAGCAAATGTTAAGGCTACTCCCAACAGAATAAAATATTTTTTGCATCACAGGTTTATAAGCAAAATGAAACTTTTGAAACTTTCGTGAGTTACCATGATTTTGAACACACTTTTTTCAATATTGTAGCTATTACTAATACATTTCTGAGTTCTATGTGTTAAAAAATACAAAATTAAAATATCAGGCCACACAGTTCTTTCACAAGTTTGTAATTTTTTAATAAATCCAATTGTTACTCAATTTTGATTTAAGTATTGACACTAATGTTCCAGTGCAAATTCTTTCAGTGATTTTAGATGGATTTTTATGTTTTATATCAGCAGATTAAAATGTTTAGAAAGTCATTCCGAAGACTTGAATCTCTTTCTTATTGTTTTCTCTTTACTTGACCCTGGAACTTCCTGCCCAAGGAAGACTAAAACTTTTCTTTTCAGGCAGGCTTCTAAAGTGTTTTAGCTGTGTGAAGAAGTTTTTAACTTCTTAATGGTTTTTAATGGTTTTAACTCTTCGTGTTTCATAGTTCCAATGTTTAATTTTATTTTAATATGTTTTCCAGGTTTTAAGCTATATATTGTATTGCTTTTACTATTATCCGCTTTGAGTCTCCTCTTTAGAGAGGTAATGATGATGACAACAACAAGAATAACAACAACAATACTTAGCCACATATTACAAAATAAAAACCAAGTAACTTGTGAAATAAACCGTACATGCAAGAGCAAATATGAGGTAATTTTTAAAATATAGAACACCAAATTCCTATAATACCAACATACATTTTTAAAAGGCTTTATAACTCTCCATTTTTCAGGCCACACTATGTAGCCAACCAGAGGACTGGTAATGTCACACTCATCAAAAGATCTATGAACAGGCTAAAATAATTCCAGCTATTACCAAAATTGAAAATAATTGTTGACAGCCTAGGTAATCTACAATAATGCATGTAATCTTGCCATGAACTTTTATGACAGAAATGAAATTAAGCTGTCATCAGCTGGCTATGTGGTGTTCCAGTATACTGGTTCTGTAGCACAGATGCTCAATATACGAAATGGAATGATCACTACACTTCAAACCATGTATGCAGCAATCCTATATCCACATACCTGAGAGTAAACCCTATTTAATTCAACTAGATTTACTTCTGAGTAGAAATGTGTAGGATTGCAAGTCTGTCACTGTGCACTGCAGAATCTTGAAAATTGGATGAATATCCTCCAGGCTAGCTAAAGTTCAAACCCCATCTGACAGTGCACATTTGTAATTTTCTGCTCCAAAATAAGCATGTTTAGCAACATCTCCCAGAGAGATATGCATAGAATTATAACTTTAACTATATATCACATAATATTGCAAATTATATTGCAATTAGGTTCTTGTGGGTTTTTTTGGGTTATATGGCCATGTTCTAGAGGCGTTGGCCATATAGCCCGAAAAAACCCACAAGAACCTAGTGATTCCAGCCATAAAAGCCTTCGACAATATATATTGCAATTACAAATTTAAAACACTTTATTTATTTATTTGCTGTATTTATATACCACTTTTCTCCCCCTGGGGGACTCAAATCATTTTCCTACATAATAATGGCAAAATCCGATGTCGTACATACATGCAAACTACTTTCTGAACTACTTTTTGAAGACTATCTTAATACATGCTTAGTTTAGCAAATATTATTAGAATGAGAGGGAAGATCAAGCAGTGAACTCATCAGGAGCCCGTCTAAATATGGCTTGGAACCTGTTAAGGACAGTATTTCTTTCTCAACACAAACACAGATCTCTCCCCCTTTGTGAGGAATTAGAGATGGGCCCATCATATGGAGAATTCAAAAGCTTTGCACACTTGTGTGAAATTTTAATTGGGCAAAAATAGGGCATAAATAGTTATAAATTCGTAATTCCACATCCCTACCATGCAAAATCTCTTATAATATTAGCTATTTGTTAAGAGCAAAACAAAACATTTGGGGGAAAAATAAACACTGACAAACACAAGAATAAAGTCAGGAATATTTTAAAAGCATACCTCAAAATGGTGATCAATTATTTCAAAATATTCTTGTAATGGGATTGGACCAGAAAAGCTACATGCAAAATCTTTGCAATTTTGTTTCCTAAAATGTTCTTCAAGGCGAAGCGTAAGTTCTTTTGTAATAAGCCAAAGATCTTCTAAGTAATCACTTTGAATTCTATAACGCTCTTTAAAAATAAAGACAAAACCAAAGTTAGTACAAATTCACCCTCAACTAACATTCTTGAAAACAGATTTACAAAATTGATTTACAAATTTACATATTTAACATAGTAATTTTTACTTCCATCCATGTAATTCACTTCTAAATTCAACTTTAATGTTTAGCATAATTAGAAGTTCTGCTTTATAATTGTATTCTTCACAATTTAGTCTATGCAAAGAAGCTTTTTTATCACTATAGTTAAAATAGTTGTATCACAAAATTGAATGTATTCACAGTTGATATGTAATTAGCACGAGACAAAACAAGTTCCAGGGCCACCTTACTGCAGCAACCATAATGGTGAAATGAAAATTATACAATATCAGCAGGCAGCATAAAAATGAGAAAGTATATCCTATATTACTTATTTGCACAGCATAAAAACTTAATGGCTAACAGTAGCATGTCATGATAAACATAACTGTTTCAATGTAATTTAAAGCAAGTATCAATGTAAAGTTAGTGGTCTAATCCCAGCCACCAGTCTCAAACAGTGTAGGCACCTTGAATCAACAGGGATTACAAATCAGACCGCTGCTATCTGACATATCTGCAGTATCTCTTCTTGAAAGAGTTGTAATTACATCTGTAGGTATTACTACAGATGCTAGATAAAACATGGGTTGGGATTGTGCCAACAACTAAAGCAATCTGACACTTGGACATAACTGCCCTAGGAAGGTTGTAAAAGATTTGGCAGCTGCTTGTTGGACTGATAATAAGTTTTTTGCCCACTCCACCACTAAAACTTTCATAAAATTGGAGGCAAACAGAATATCTCCATAAGTATATTCTTGGTAAGATTTCCCCTTTTCAGTGAGGTGAATCAGGATCCTGAGGTTGGGTGATATTTGTGGGGCAAAAATGGTAATGGAGAAAATGAGATTGAAATCTTAAAACTGAAAAGAGCCTGACATAGAACAAAGTCTTGGAAGCTGGATCATCCTCCACTTTAGATAGTTCTCAAGACAGACAAAAGTGGAGTGAACATTTCTCACTGGAGAAGTGTTATGACATGTGTGGATCTATAGAAACACAAGAGAGAGCATGAATTGGCCTTGCATGTTGTTTATTGGAACATTTCAAAACACTTCATTTTATCGTTTGGTAAATATAATAGTGTCTGTGTGTTCTAAACTGTTTGTTTGATTGATTTATATTCTACTTTTCTCCAAATACAGCAGCCAAAATCACTGTGCTTAGAATGAGAAACGGATGAGGCTTTGGGGAAGAGCAACAAGGCAAAACATGACAAGGATGTGTTCTTTCCAATACTGTGATCTTCTCTAAGCATCCCGATGGACTAGGTTAGTATACAGCAGTGGTTCTCAACCTGTGGGTCCCCAGGTGTTTTGGGCTACAACTCCAAGAAATCCCAGCCCGTTTACCAGCTGTTAGGATTTCTGGGAGTTGAAGGCCAAAACATCTGGGGACCCACAGGTTGAGAATCACTGGTATACAGGGTATAACAGGACCGTATTTGATAAGCAGAGGGGGAGACTGAGACATCTGAGGCAGAGGTATACTATATAATTAGTCTAACAATACTAAAACTGGGGAGCTTTCCTCACATCAATTCCATGAGTACCATGAAATGCTCTTTTCAGGATGGAGCAATCTCTCTCTTTCAACTGTATAAAATGCTTTGTTTTCTACAATCTCCCTTTGCAATTGAAGCGGCATTGATGAAACTAAACTACATGGAAAGAGTAAATCCCCAGACATATTGGGACTTTCATCTCCATTATATCATCATTGCATTGCGACTGTTGTCAAGAGAGAAGAGGGAAGAAAAAGGAGTACGGATATGAAATGGGGAAAAACAGAAAAAGAGGAGTGATAAGTTGGGGGTGAGTTTAGGAGCAAAGAAGTGAGAAGAAGTGATTTTTGGAGAGAAAACAACAAAGGATAGGTTTTGTTTCACACCTGCTATAAAAGTAAATGGGATAAGCAACCCTTTACATTATGTTTCTTTTCCACTGCTGAAAAATTTACAAAATCGGATGGTAATTTTTCAGTCAGAATTACCAGATCTTAGACAATAATTCTGTACAGGATTTTAAAAGCAAGTATTTAGGACAGCTTTCTTTAAATTGATCGAAAATATCAAATGAATATGTCCTATGGATTTTAATGTTTATCCTAAATGTCCATGTCAAACATCATTTTCACTAGATCAGAAGAATTCTAATAAAACAACACAACACTCCTCTGTAAATATCTTAACTGGATTGTATTATCATCTCTGAAAAGGAAACGGGATAAATTGCTTGAAACCTGGAAAGTGGATAGAGGAATATTTTTGCTAGCATTTGAATAAGGGGACATTGACACTTTCCACCATGCCATGTCAGGCAGCACACACATTATCCATTAGTTGAAAGAGGCCACTTGAAAGAACTGGCTGTGGAACAATGATGATTTCAATACATTCTGGAAAATACTATATTTAGGCTGATTCATTCAATACATTTCTGCACACTTCTAGGGAATAGTAAGGGGTAAAAATAACAAAAATACAGATAACTTTTAAAATAATGTTCTCCTTGTCAGATAGTTTGCCAAGTACCCTCCCCCTGACCAAAAGCAGAGATTTGGAACATTAAGTGATTTTATAAGATTAGTAATCTAAGATTGTGTAGCTTTTCTACTGGCACAATTCCCAGAAAATGCAATTCATTGATGGGACAATGACAAATTCTATTTATAGTGTACAAGGAAAATAGGAGGATTTTATTTTAAAACATGTCCTTTCAAAAAAAGAAAAACATCTGTTAATAATGATATACAACCTTATTTTTATTCATCCTAGATAAACTTCTAGCATAATGACTGGATATTTTGACAAAACTTTAGATTACCCCTTACACTAAACTGGGAGTTTGGGGAGAAAGCTGAGGTCATCACTAGGTTCAAAACCATACAGAGAGCTCTGCTTCAGCAATAACTAAAGATAAAATAGATTATACATTTCATAGAATTGTAAGCCTAAAGAAAAAGCTGAGAAATGTTGTAGAGTATATAAAGGCTTTTTTTTATTTGCACAAATTGGTTGAAAATCCAAAAACAAATATTTGTGTTTGCATATTCCAAGATTATAAAAATAGATATGTTTAATCCTCCCTTCAAAAGTTAAAGTATTATTTCTTCCACAATGTTTTACATACAAAGGCAACAAAGTATTTCTCAAAAATACTTTGTGGCAGAAAATATAACAGGTAAACGTATATCCAGATAACCAGCATTATGCCAGATCTATGAATAAACAAAGCCAAAATGGAGAAAATAAATGGTAGAACAAGATATCCTCAAGGGCTGGGAAGATAAAGCTTAAAAACTAAAGTGCACTTAAGACAGCCAAAGCCTTCTGTAGGATAATGTTAAACTGTTTTCCTTGTTAATTGCCATTAATGTCCATCAGATACTGTTCACTCATGTGTGTACTAATTCTGTAAAAGAAAAATCCAAATAGACAATCCTAATTTTAGCTCATATATAAAACTATTTATAAGAAATATAAATCTTCCCAGATCCTTGTTATGGAATATTTTAGTTCCTTCAACTGTTTAAAAACTGTTATGATTAAGCTAAACAATATTAAAAATTATCATACAACGCTCAAAAAATGTTCATACAACTAAAAACAAACAGAAATGAAGCCAGTAAAAATAAACTCATTGATACCAAAAGAATCCCAAAATAACTACTTTTCCAGATGTTTTCCATCCAAAGATTTCTGTTGAAAGATACTTGGGTCTTCTACAGTTCAGACCTTGTTGACATCAGTGCCAACAAAAGAAAGTTCACAAATCACCAAATCGAGCTGATTCTACACAGCATCACTACAGTCTCCACAACCAGAATAGACGGCTTTGAATATATTTTCACAGTTTGAAATCCCATACTTTAATGGCAATTTTATTTCCCTTAGTTTTATTATGAGAAGTGTGAAAAAATGTTTAAAACCCTATCAACTTACTATCAAAAGACACTTTGGCATAAATATTAAACCAAAAAAGAACAAGGACAATAACTTACTGTGTTTCCTCAGATAAACTGAAATCTTTTTCAAACAGTGGTCTTGCATGACTCCTAACAACCTACTTTTGAAACTTAGTTGATGGTCAAAACATAAATGCTTCACCATTTAGAGTTAACGTTTGAAAAAAAAATTCAAAGCAGGTCTGGTGTGCCTAAATCCAAGGTTTACAAAATTGCATAAGTAATTCTTTCGATCCTAACTAGTATCTTTACATAAGAAAATAAGACTGGCAGACAGACATGCATTATTTTCACTGCTGCGATTAAGTACAACAATGATAATATTTTAACTTAAGGGTCATGCAATCCTCATGATCCCCAAGTTAGAATTGCAGTTCCCATTGTAGAATTGCAGTTTCCATTAGTCCTAGCCAGCAAAAGCAGCTTCAGTCTAAAAACTTGTGAAGGACTGCATGATTCCCACCCTAATCTAATTTGTGCAGGCTTCTTTTTTAAATAGTGGAGATACCGGCCTATATACGAGGGGTATTTTTTAAGTAAGGTCCGTTTGAACATAAGTACACAACAAAAGTTTATTTCCAAAAAAGTAAATTTATTTTCAGAAAGTACATACTTCACTCTATTTTTCGACATAGTTGCCAAGTTTGTTCAAACACTTATCATACCTCTGAACCAATTTTAAAATACCCTCTTCATAAAAACTTGCCGCCTGCTCCGATAACCAAATTGTCTGTAACCAAAGAAGGGTGACCAGAGCGGTCCTCATCATGGACGTTGTCACGGCCATCTTTGAATTGTCGTACCCAATTACGCACTTTGCTTTCACTCATAACAGTATCACCGTACACTTCACAAATCTGTCGATGAATTTCTGCAGCAGGCAGGTTCCTTGCTGTCAAAAACCGTATCACTGAGCGAACCTCACATGCGTAGGGTGAGTTGATAGTCTTAAACATTTTTAAAGCACAGAACAGAACCGTACAGGTTAGCTACAGAGCGGAAACTGAGCACAGTTGTTCCCGAGGCATGCCGGTACACGACGCACGCGCTCGTTGCGGTATGCGTGCAAACTACTAGTGTCTACAACAAAACGGACCTTACTTAAAAATACCCCTCGTATTTATTGAAATGTATGTAATTAAATAACTTAGACGTACTAAAAATCAACCCTATACTTTCAAAGTTAGCAGCTTTTTAGTGTTTCTTAAAGGTCTAAGAAACAGATTACTGTCAAAACAAGTTTTCATTACTCACATCCTCATCAACAACAATGGTGTTATAAAAATGGCTATAACGTTAATCATTATAGATGCCAATCCCAAAAGTAGGTATATACTGCTATATTGGAGTGCACCATGGTGGTTAACATCAATACAGCCTTGATACTTTATGAAATATATGGCAATAGCCTACCCTATAGTAAGCCAGACCTCTGGGTCTATCTAGTCAAGTACTAGAGAGAGGGCAAGTATGTGACTCTGCAGTTCATCAGGATCCCTTCATTATGGCAAAGGAATAAATAATACTTTGGGCAATAATTCTGTATGGATTTCATGCAATATACCAATAAACACCAGGCATCATTTCATGAAAGATACCAATAAACACAAAACACCAGACAAAACTCTTGCCATTAATCTAATGAAATACAAAACTTTGGAATAGTATTGGAAGAATCCAATATAAACACCAAAAGCTGCATTGCACTGTACAAAAACTATGCCAACACCATAAAGTAAATCAAGGTACTTACGAGATGTTTTTGAAGCAAGTAAAGTGACTCTAGAACCAGCTATTAATTGAAATCCTAAAGCATTTAGTTGATCTTCCTCAGTTTGGTCAGAAAAGTCTACAAGAAGAAAAAAACATAAACTAGACAATTTGTCCTTCTTGGCATCTTGTTAATGAACACTGAAGCTATATTTCTATTTATTATGAAGAACCGCTCGCCATTTTAGAGAGAAATTGAGAGGGCATACCCCCATGAATGGTTTCTAATAAATGTGAAGACTTTGGATCCATGTTTAGAACAGGTTAACTGAAAATCAACTGGGTAGTCAGTCATGACTACTAAATCCAGTTATATTTAAAGCACTTACTAAAGAAGTAGAACTAAATCTGGACTTTGAAACTAACCATAATGCACTCTACCATCAAGCGTTACACATACAAATGCTTACAAATGGAGCTTTAAAAACCAATTCATGGTTGTTAGGGTTTTACTCAGAAAACAGATTAAAAGTAGGAAAAATGTCAAGTATGACCATGTGTATATATGATACTTCATTCAATGTGTTCACAACTTACAACACAACACAATATAAGGGGTTGATGGGGAAGTGTACAAAGGAGAGATAACAGACTGCACACAGAAAAGCACCTTTCAAAGTATTGTATTTACTCAAATCTAATGAGCCAACAAGAAGATAACAGGATATTTATTTTTATGTATTATAAGATATGTGTAAGAAAATATTGCTGGAAATTGTAGTTTAACTTGCTTAATAAAAAGTAATTTGAATGAAACTTAAAAGAAAGTATGATAAAATTCTACCTACAAGTATATTTCTTTTAGGATTCTTCAGACAAATATTCCATTACTATACATTCCTCAAATTTTGAATATATCGTTTTTTAAAGTCTTACCTGGAAAAAGTGTAACAAGACTGACTGGAAGCTTGTTAGTATCAATAGTCAGTTTCTGGCTTGCTGTTTTTGAAGGCTGAACTGGAAAGCAAACCAACTGTAACGGTAAGCGAAATTTGCATTGAACAACTCTTGGTACACCTGAAACATATTAATATATATACATGTGTTAACTGTACTACCTAAACAAATTAGTTATAGAATAGTGCTACTCAAAATGGTGTTTCCTGGACATTTACTGGTATTCCCTGGTCAGTTTTCAGGAAAGAAATACTTCTATCCAATGGGCACAAGTTTAATGCAAGTTCCTGCTACATTGTTTTTCAATTGCTAATCCCCCACATCAGATCTCCTTTGAAGCATTGGTGTAGAGGCTTTATTATGGGCAGAGCAGATGACAGAGCTACCACGTCTCTACAAGAGGCAGCTACCTTCTATCATGCAGCAGGGCAGAAGGATAGAGAAGACACCGCTCTAATTCTTGCCTTATGCTTATTGTAACCAGCAGCCAATCTATCAGGAGCTCTGAACTGTCTCTTTCCCAGATGATAATGATAAAAATGGCAACTTTCAGAAATCTGCTTAGTTTCCCTTCCTTCCTCAAACTGCATGTTGTTTAGATCAGGGTTCCACTCATTATCTCTTTCCACCTGAGAAGTTTTTCACAACCCCTTTGTGTACAATAAATTTGTACGTGATACTACATATATACATAGGTATAAAATTCAATAATCAAAAATCAATATAAAAATGAGCCCCTGGTTGCACAGTGGGTTAAACTGATGAGCTGCTGAACTTGCAGACCGAAAGGTCTCCAATTTGAATCCAGGGAGTGGGGTGAGCTCCCGCTGTTAGCCCCAGCTTCTGCCAAACTAGCAGTTAAAAACATACAAATGTAAGTAGATCAATAGGTACTGCTCCTTCAGAAAGGTAATGGTGCTTCATGCAGTCATGCTGACCACATGACCTACGGACAACACCGGCTCTTTGGCTTACAAATGGAGATGAGCACCAACCTCCAGAGTCGGACATGACTGGACTTAATGTCAGGGGAAAACCTTTACCTTTGCCTTATAAAAATCAAATATTTACTGATAAATCAACATTTGCGGGGCTTGCTAAACTGTCTGATTTTCTTATTTATGAAATAAAGATCTAGCATTTTCTGCAGAGTCCACTGTAAACACCACACGTTGTTGCTAATAGATTAGAGTAAATGTCTAGATGTCTAACAATTTCTAACAATTTCTGTGTAAACTAGGGAGCAGTTTACACCTATAATAGCAAATTCTGTGGTTTCATCTGAATTGTATAAGATGATTTTTTTCAGAGAAGGATGAAAACTATATTGTAAAGAATACCTATCAGCAGAAATAAACCAGAGCTGTTCATTTATGAAATACCACACTAGGACCTACTGGAATAGACTGAAGCAGACAATAGAAAATTGTTAATATATTCTAAAGGACATACAGCCAACCTGCTACTATATAGATTCAATCAAAACAAAACTCCTGAAGGTATATATTTTATTTCAATGTCTGATTTTCTTATTTATGAAATAAAGCTCTAGCATTTTCTGCGGAGTCCACTGTAAACACCACACGTTGTTGCTAATAGATTAGGGTAAATGTCTAGGTGGTATTCAGAAACAGTTTACTGGTGTTAAATTTTTCACAACCCCAACATTGAGCTAAGAGGACCCTATTTGGAGTCAGGACTCACAGTTGAAGAAGAAGTATTTTAGATAATAAACCTGTGGGGTAAGGATTCTTACTGTCATTGTTTGTGAGTCTCTGAGAATCTAGTAATAAAATAACTTTTTAAAAGTAGCTGTATGGTCTGTTGTGGCATAAAAATAAAAAGGGATGGGAGAAAAGGAATCTAGCAGCACCTTTAAGATTAATGCATTTATACTATATCAGTTAAAGGCATTGCTAGATTCCCTTCTGCTTCTCATCTGTTTTTTTTTTAAAGTTAAACAGTGAGGTAAAATTATTTAAATTAGTGTTGTCCAACTCAGATATTTTGGATTTCAGCTTCTAGGATCACTAATCATTGACTAAAGTATCTGAGACTTCTAGGAGTTTAAATCCAAAATACCTGGAGGACTAGAGTTTGAGAATCTCTGTTTTAAAGAAATAAACATGAACACAAATCTTCAACAAGCTTGTCAATTTCTTCTGACACTTGCCAAACAATAGAATAAATTCTTTCTAAAGACGGGAAGCCAGATAACAAGATATTAGCTACTTGGCCATAAAACATAAGGGAATTCCATGGACCTATGCCAGAATTGAGGAACACATGGCTCTTCAGACAGGTGATGGAATCCAAACTCCCAAAGTATCTAGTAAACAAGGGTAATGAGTAGGTATTATGGGAGCTGGGCAGGCATATCTTTAATCAAGTTGTTAACATTCACTGACACAAGGGAAAACAACAAAACCTGCAGACCTATTACAAAATATCTATGTAAGGAAAGTAATAATTTGATTCAGATTTCTTTTCATTATATCACTGTATCTGGGTAAAAACTATCCTTACACTAAACAAAACAATTTCTGTGTAAACTAGGGAAGCAGTTTACACCTATAATAGCAAATTCTGTGGTTTCATCTGAATTGTATAAGATGATTTTTTTTCAGAGAAGGATGAAAATTATATTGTAAAGAATACCTATCAGCAGAAATAAACCAGAGCTGTTCATTTATGAAATACCACACTAGGACCTACTGGAATAGACTGAAGCAGACAATAGGAAATTGTTAATATATTCTAAAGGACAACAGCCAACCTGCTACTATATAGATTCAATCAAAACAAAACCCCTGAAGGTATATATTTTATTTCAATGTGTTTCTCACTCACCTTCTGGACTGAGATCTATCACAAAACCAATGAAAGCAATGGAGAAAGTGGACACAACAGATGACAGACAGTAAATAATCACTGACCATTCAAAAGATATTTAGTGTCTTAACATCACAGCCACAACAAAAAAACATAAACATACAGAATAAAAAGTAAACAAAAATCATAGAATTACTGATGAAAGCTGAAATGAACAAACAGAAAAAGTGAGAAGTTGCCCAAAGCAAATACAAGTCTAGTTCAGTGATGGAGAGGGACTGTTTTTGTTGAACATGGAAAAATGAAAACTACCAAAGTAAGCTGCATTATGACACAGTGCAAATAGATATATGTAATTATTCTTTACTAGGACTATGCAAATATATCTGGGACAATGTGGCCCCTTTGTGATGATTCCTTCTGTATCAGTGGTTCTCAACCTGTGGATCCCCAGATGTCTTGGCCTTCAACTCCAAGAAATCCCAGCAGCTGTTAAACTGGCTGCGATTTTTGGGTGTTGTGGGCCAAAACAACTGGAGACTCACAGGCTCTGAGCCACTGTTCGATATGAAGGTGGTCATTAACTCAGGTGGCCACATTGTCCAGTAGAATCCATCTACCATGTCAGCCTGAAACATGGTGAGCTGAAGTAGTAGGAGTGCTTACTACTAGCTTTGGCTGATACGTCTAGATTTGGAAGACCTAAAGATGGTAGTGCATGCAGTGTTAATCTCAAGGGTGGACCTGCCACTCGCTTTACATTGAGCTAACTTTGTACCAAGTTCAGAAACTTCAGCTGGTTCAAAATACGGAAGCCAGATTTGTTACAGGAACATTTTGAAGGGAGCACATTGCGCCTATCCTAATGTTACTCCACTGGCTGCCAATTAGTTTCTGGGCAAAGTAAAAGGTGTTGGTTTTGACCTTTAAAGCCCTACATGGTTGGGTTCAGGTTACCTTCAGGATCACTTTCTCCTGTACAATCTGCCTGAACGTTGAGGTCCTCTGGGGGGCATCTGCTCCAGCCTTCCAGAACCCATCTGGCAACTACCACCCAAAGGACCTTTTCATCAGCCACCTCAAGACTCTGGAATGATCTGCCGATAGAGCTTAGACAGCTAAATCAGCTGTTGGAATATAAAACCATCTAAAGATACATCACTTTTGACAGGCCTAACTTGAGATGGAGTTGGAACCAAGAGAAGGGCCTCTCCTGAAGATCTCGAGGCCTGGGCAGGTTCGTACAAGGGGATGTGGTCAGTCTGGACCTGAACTGTCTAGGGTTTAGTGTTTCAGTTCACGGTGTGCGTAGAAAATCTTATTCATGCAGAAATTCAAAAGCAAGTTAGAAAGGTTTATCTACTCTTATCCACTCCTGTGTGTCTCAATCCTGGGGATTGTACCGAAGAAAGAAGTGGGAAGATATAGTGAACCTGGGAGAGTTCAGTGATGCATCTTTCTATTGAGTGGGTGTTGCAGAGCTATCTGGCTTTCTGGAAAATAGTTTCAGTACACACTATCTAATGCTGTTCGTTATGCAGCATTAATTTGGGCTAGTAATTTCCAGGCAACAGTTCAGACTGGACTTTAGGAACTATACATTTGTGACATATTTAATCCATATTGGGGTTAGCCTTCATTGCTGTCATCACTGAATTTAGCTCAAGAACAATTTAGTCCCTGTATTGCTGGCATTCCATTGCTTACATGAAGTAATTTATTCATTTAGACCAGGCCTGCACAACTTGCGGCCCTCCGGGTGTTTGAGCCTCCAACTCCCAGAAACCCTAGTCAGCTTGTTCAATGTTTAGGAATTCTGGGAGCTAAAGGACAAAACCCCTAGAGGGCCGCAAGTTGTGCAGGCCTGACTTAGACACTAAGCCTGTAAAAGTTATGCTTAAACAGTTTTGAAGGTATAAGGAGACTGTCAGACAAGAGCCTAGTGTTGATCCGCATGTAGAATATGATCTACTAGTCAGTGCAGCAAACACAGACTAGTCAATTAAGCTCTTACCTGGGACGGAACAAATGAGCAATTGTCTAATGGTTTTGGAGGAGGGGGATATAATAACTTGGATTGCTCTGACCCCCACCCAGGTTTTGGTTATCCACTTGAGTGGTGATAACCTGAGGCTGCAGAAAGGTATGGCTTTGATTAGTCAAGCCTCAGAGTATACCTGTAACTTTCAGAAGTCTGCCACTGTGTCTAGACAGGACACAAAGGAAAGTAAGTAGTGAGATACATAAGGCAGAGATCAAAATCATCCCAAAATCCTTACCATTTTTTAAAATGGGATGTTGTGGAGAACTGGGAACAGAACAAGTCAGATTCAGAAGCTACATACAGTCCAAAATCTGCACTTTCTCACACCCAGCATAGGCTTGGGAGAGGGATTGGGCCATTTTCTGTAAACACCTGAAAATTTGTTTTTGAAAGGCCGCACAGTGGACTGATGGTGCTTGTCTAACAAAGGATGTGTAATCCTAAATGATCTGCATGAGCATATGTATAACATATTAGTCATCTTGATGAAGAAAAGCTGCTACAGACATTTGAAATCAATGGCTAGAGTTGAGAAGACTGATTAGGTCCCAGATTTCTTGAGGCTCAGATGATTTGTCCAGAGGCAACTAAGGAAAAGGGCCAGAAAGGAGCTGTAACTTCAGTGGTTCTCACTATTCCAGTCAAGCCTTATACCAAGTCTTTTCATGTCCATAAAAGGTCTGCACTACTAGTGTTAAGTATGTCATCTACAAACACAAGAAGGAAGACTTGGTACCTTAGTAATATTCAACAGAAATGTCTATTAGAATTGCATCAGGTTCTCAAAAATGTGTAATAACCTGTCAACACAATGCATAATCCTATATTGTACTTTAAAGAAATTGATTTAGTAAGTACACTGTTATAATTACCATCACTGTGATTCATTAGGGCCATTGTGTAGATCCCCTGCATCAGAAATGGAGAACTACTAACTCTTCGGGTGTTCTTAAGACTACAACTCACCTCATCCCCGACCACTGCCTGTAATTGATGGAAGTCAGAGTCTAATAACATTTGGAGATGCACAGGTTCCCCATCACCTGTCTATGAATTTGTAAACAACCAGTTGCTCTGTGGTGGCTAATTGTAGGTGAGTCATTGCTTGTTATTGTCAATATGTTGCAAAGAAATTATGCACACATGGTTCCACAGACAATCTATTAACTTGACATCATATTTAATTTTCTGTTGTTATCACATATATGCACACTATACTAAACAGACAGTTTCGATTTTTCTTCCTCAAAATATTAATAGTAAGGCTTTATCTGGAAACTCAAAATCCTCCAAAATCTGAAAATGGCCATGTGGGTGGTTGAGACGGTAGATTAAATGCTTTCTGGTGGTTCAGTGTAAACAAATACCATTTCGTGCATAAAATTACAGGCTTTCTGGAAAATAGTTTCAATACACACTATCTAATGCTGTTCGTTATGCTACATGTTATAACAAAAAACACTAAATATTTTGTCTTGAAAAGCCAATACAGTAAGTATAATTAAACATGAAAGTGAAAATACACCCCCCCTTTTTATACACATATTCCTATTTACCTGTTGGGGTGCTGAATGAAGCTAGAGCACTACCTTCCAGATCTGCTGGTGGACTGTTCCCTTTTAGAAAGGCAGAGACTAGAAGTGTTTTATGTACATATGGTTCTGTAAACACAAAGAAACAAAAACAGAAAGAATAACTGGAAACATGAACTCGGAAATAAAGTGTCTATAACTGCATCAACAGTAATTTATTACTTACTCCTCCCCATTAATACAAGGATTTTTTTTTACAAATAATGCAATATTTATTTATTAATTGATTGATTGAATTGATATGCTGGGTAACATGCTTACACTGAAAAAAGCAAATTTTATTTTGTAACTAATTATTTTCAGAGAAACACTATAATAAGATGTTAATAATCAATTTAGTGGACACCTCCCCCAGACACACACACAAACAAAGCACAGCATCACCTCCCCAGTACATAGGTCTAGCACATGGGCTCCTAAGGTGCAAAATTCCAAAGCATTATTTTCTATGACTGTAAAAGCGTTACAAGCTTGTTACCAATGCTATACCAAATTCTGTCACAATTCAATGCACACCTCTAGAACAGTGCAGTAGATTCCTTTCCCCACAAACCAACAGTTATTTCAGCTCTATTGCAGGGATGAGCAACTGGAAATGTAATGGGAATCATTTTCCCTTCTTATCCACATCCAGTGGGCCACAGCAACATTTCAGTAGATTCAAAGTGATGCAATATTGCTTTTGGCTGCTAACTTGGCCATTTTTCTGTTTTGGAGCGGTTTGGGGTTAGTGAAGCACAACACTGCCTCACAACCTCTGAGGATGCTTGCCACAGATGAAGGCGAAATGTCAAGAGAGAATGTTTCTATAACGTGGCCATGCAGCTTGAAAAACCTACAACAACCCACTGCCTTTTTGATGGTTTGGGAATCATAGAATCATAGAGTTGGAAAAGACCTCGTGGGCCATCCAGTCCAACCCCCTGCCAATAAGCAGAAAAACCGCATTCAAAGCACCCTTCGACAGATGGCCATCCAGCCTCTGTTTAAAAGCCTCAAAAGAAGGAGCCTCTACCAAACTCCAGGGTAGAGAGTTCCACTGCTGAACAACTCTCACAGTTAGGAAGTTCGTCCTAATGTTCAGGTCTTTGTTTCCTTTCTTGTAGATTGAAACCATTGTTCTGTGCCCTAGTCTCCTGGGCAGCAAAAAACAAGCTTACTCCTTCCTCCCTATGACTTTCCTTCCCATATTTATACATGGCTATCATGAGTCCTCTCAGCCTTCTTTTCTGCAGGATAAACATGCCCAGCTCTTTATGATCTTTAGTTGTTTTAGTTTTCCAAACTCAGCTTAAATGTCTGGCATTTCTTACTGTGATATGATAAAACTAGTTTGTGTAAAAATTTGAATGTCACTCTGTTTGCATTGGAGATTACTGCAAATGATTATTATAATCCCTCTCCCCCCCCCCCCCCCCCCCCCCCCCGATTGGTGGGGACGAGAGACGGGCCCTTCTCAGTGGTGGGAAGACTTTGAGCAGCATTGAGGCAAAAAATTGTCTTAAAATAAGTTTTTTTTAAATGAGGGGATCTGAGGGCTCTGAATGACTGCATTAGCCAAAAATTGTCACAATAATCAGTAAAACAATTGACACCAACCTCAAGAAAAGTAAGTACAAACAACCATTATCATTGGAGCATGTTAGGTAATGAGGATACTATTTGCTAGATGGAAATGGTGTTACATTATTTGGCTTCAAAAGGAGGCAATTGCTGGGCAACATTTTCACCTACAGGTAGACAGAACCTTTATGAAGCTACTGCTCCAAAGGAAAGGACAGGTTCTCTTTATATAATTAGAAGCTTCTCTTAGTTACATACGTTGCTCTCTGCAGACCTTCTCAGTATTAACTAAATGGGATTGAAAGCATTACTACAGACCTCCACATTTTAAACCCCAGTACTGTAAAACCAACTTTAAAAAAAGCCCCAATAGCTAAAATCAATTGATCAATTTAACTGGGAAGTACAAGTGCATCCTTCCTTATATGGAAATCATTTCACATGTACAGGATCCAGGCTGGCCAACACATATTTTGGTGCTTCAAATGTTATCCCTGTTTCTGGGTATATCTGACCTGCTGATTCCAAAAATGACATTGGATTTCCCCTATCAGCACTAGTTTTTGAGATCAAAACACATGCATCTGCCAGTCACCATATCTAAGATTACTATCATATTTGCTCAATTATATTGCGCAATCAAACATAATACATACTTCAACTCTGAAGGTGCACATTACAAAAAAATAGATTTGCCCTTGAATGCAATGCACTCAGCAGCACAGGCATACTATGTCAGGGAGGCAGGCAACATGAATGAGGCCATTTGGGAAGCCATGCCCCTCTGTCAGAGCTTTTATGAAGTCCTTGTGAATGAGACCAGTTGGAAACTGCATGGGACTGGGCATAGAGGATATGGGTAAAGTCCCCAAGGCCACTTGGGAGGCAGATCAGTGGTGAAGCAATGTAATTTAGCCAAAAAAGATTAGCATTAGACTCAAGTTAATATGGTATATTTTAAGATAACCATATTGAAAAAAACAAAGCTGAGATGGTCTATCCAATGCTATTTTCTGATTCAACACTCCAAATAATCCAAGTAACAAGCCTAAAAACCAAGACATAAAAGGTTTTTTTTGTTGAACTGTATTATCCAAGGATACATGAAATATCACATGGTCAACCTTGATCTCAATCTTTTCACACAGAGTTTATATTAGAGCATATATAGCTGCCTGCATGGCATCAACAGTACTCTTTTTTTGAAGGAGAAAATAATTATAGCCCTATCAATGGCTAAGAATTTTATGATTTCTTCTGACATATATGATAATAGTAGCTGAATCAGTATTGATGTCAACTAATTTAATTCATGGTGACAAAATAAGTTCTCATTTCCATAGAATTATTTACAAATGCTCTGTTCTCTGTTGAAACTACTCATTCTTTTTAATAAAAAATCCAACCTACTTTCTTCATAGGAATAGTAGGGCATTACATATTTTAATTAACTTTATTAAACATTTTCCTACAAATGCTATGTAATATTAAAAGATCAAAAATAGATGTATCTTAAATTACAGGAACTTACCTAATTCAAAGATGAATTTGTCCTGAGTCAGTGCTAATGGTGATTGTACATGTACTGATAATTTTATAAGCATCAGCTGTCTGCTTTCAACTCTGATCTGTTGGAGTTACAATTAGAAAATAGCAGCACATGACTGAGAATAATAAATACAAAATAAATCAATGACAACTGTATTATGTCAAAAATAGAGATTATCCTCAGAAATATTTATTTGTATGAATCAAATGCTTCTTCAATGAAATTACACAATCATTCACATTCTGTTTCACTTCAGTGAGAACATACAGTCAGCTCTCCATATTCCCACATATTAGGGGGCACAGGACCACTACAAAAGTAGATAAACTGTGCATAAAAAGACTCTTTTTACCTGAGAGAATATCTCTCTAGGAATCTATAGGTTCTGCAGGAAGACTTTTGTCAGAAGTTGATCACAGAATTGCACTGGAGAATCTAGAAATTCCTAAAGAGAACTCATGTCCATGCATAATCAGCAATGCAAATATGGAGTGACAACTGTAGTTTAATTAATTTTGTGGTTCTCCTGTCTTCATTGATTTTATGACACTTTTACTTTTAGAACATTTTAAATTCTAGTAAATCAGAAATTAAAGCATAATGTTATAGCTTAGCAAACAAGCTGTTACTCTGGCTCATTAAAGGAATTTTAGCAAACCAAATGAAATATTTGGCAATGTTTAAAGAAGTTTGCAAAGGCTGATCACAATGCTAGCAACTACAATCAAATAGTAAATGTGAAGATTTGTAAACAAGCAGTACATGTTTTTTAAAAAATGTATAGGTCTGGAATAAACAAAATTAGAAACTGAAGGCTTTGAGGGACTTCTGTGAGGACTTTGGTAGAAAAAGAACAGGTTGCTTAACTGCGATTCTCTGTGTAGTCATTTGTGAACTCACACAAATGGGATTATCTGTGCCTGTGCAGCACATGCTTTGTAAACTCAAAAGCAGCATAATGTGTGTTTTAGCAGTAGTCCCACCCAATACACTTTCTGCCTAAGTCCTCAGCTTCCTGGGCACCAAAGCAGCAGCAAAGGAGATACAGAAGATAACTCACAATGAGGAGACGATGGGTGTGAGGTCATAGATGACCACTCAAAGAACCAGTTGCAGGTAAACAATCTGTTCTCCTTTTTTGTGATCTCTGTGACTCACACAAACAAGAGATTAGCAAATTACTAACCCCATAGTAATAGGGGGTGTCATGCAACAAAGGAGAAGAGCACGGCCCTTTGAAATGCAACCTCTGCCTGGGAACTTGTGTCCAGTCTATAATGCGAAATGAACAAAAGGTCAGGACCAGATGACCACCCTACAGATGTCATGCAGAGGTAAAACCTTGACAAAAGGCCTCCAATGGACCGGAGGTTACCTGCCTGCAAATTGATAGACCAAACAAGCCAGGTCCGTAGCCAGGATTTCGTTTCGGGGGGGGGCTGAATTTTTTTTCAGGGGGGTTTCAGGGGGGGCTTCGGGGGGGGGGGGCTGAGTCTGAGAGAAAGAGGGTCTAGCCTAGCAAACCTTTTGTATCATTACCCCAATACCCCCATGCATATGGGATATATTGAGTATGGTGATCAGATCATGATATGAATAAACATAACAGTTTAAATAATGCACCAATAAGGCCTTTTCGCAAACCACCATGAAAATTTGGGGGGGGGGGGCTGAAGCCCCCCCCTGGCTACATGCCTGAAACAAGCGGTTGCTTGGAGAGACATTGGACTGAGACTGGAAATCCTTTCTTTGACAAGAAGCGAAGAAAAAGCCTCTGCAATGGCCGAAAGGAAGCTATGGAATCAAAATAAAATGGCAGCACTCTTCAGATGTCCAATCAGATGTAGGGTTCTGCATAAATTCAGGGAGTGCGATGGTTCAAGTGAAACTTCCTTTGGTAAAAAGGAAATGTCTGATCTAAGAACCACACTGTATTTACAGAAGCACAAGTAAAGTTGACCTTCTCTGTTCAAGGCTCTCCTGCACTCCTGGTAGAGGTAATTACAACAAGGAAAGTAGTTTTTCGGATTAGCCATCTCAGGTTACAAGAAGCCATGGTCTTGAAGAGCCTCCTGACAAGTTGGTAGAGGACTACTTACAAATGTCATTGGGCAGTAGGCCCAATCACAGCTGGGTTTAAGTTCTAATATCCATTTAGGAATCTCTTTACTAAGGGTTCCAGGAAATAAGAAAGCTTGCCAGTTCACAGGAAATGCTAAGAGCCTGCTAATAAACAGCATTTAATGGTGGACAAAGAGATACTTTCATCAGATAATGAAACCACAAGTCCAGAACATGTGCAGTCGTGCTGGAGCAACATGTTTTGACTGAAGGGTCACTGAACCTGGTCCATTTGTAGGTGCAGACAGATTATGGGCTGCTTTAATGATAGGATCTGACCAAAATGTCAGTGGACAAGCCTCTAGGCAACTGTTTCTCAAACTCTGCTCCTCCAGATGTTTTGGACTTCAGCTCTCATAATTCCTAACAGCTGGTAAATTGGCTGGGATTTCTAGGAGCTGAAGTCCAAAACATCTTGAGGAGCAGAGTTTGATAAACACTTCTCTAGGCAGTGACCTCAACATTCTGCAGGTAAAGAAACCTCACCATGCACTCACAGATTGTGAAAGGATCAAGCAAGATGGCAACCTCAAATAATTCTCTTCGGAGAAATTAATCAGAGAAGCAAACCACAGTTGTCTGTGTCAGCATAGAAGACCAGAATAGATCTGGCCCTGTATCCTGACAAATCTTGGCAATCACACTCATGATGAGAGGAAATAGTGAATAGGCATTCATGACATGTCCTTCCCAAACAGGAATGCATCATGAGAGAGACCCTCCCTCTGCCGGCTCTGAAAAAGAAGATCTTGTTCTGCTTGTTCAGAGATGACACAAATTGAAGATCTTGAAGAGAGTGCCTGGTTATACTCTCTATTTGTGACATGACAGAGTTGCCTGGCTCAGACAATCTGCCATGACATTCTCCATCCGTGGAAGATGTATCACCAAGATACAAATGGGCACCAACAATATGCCCAATCCAATCGAAATTCTAATAATCAAATCATCATAAATCAAGACCAAAATGCAAAGGAAAGCTCATAAATTAAGAGCAATTTTCAGGGGGGAAAACTGTAACCAAATCTTAATCAGTGAGAAAAATGAGAAACATTCTTGCTGTGGTGGATGAAAAGGGAATGAGGTTTTAGGAGGGAAACCCTCTGTGTAACTGTATAGGGACTAGACCAAGTTATACGCAAAATATTTATTATGTTGTTCTAAAAGGTTCCAAAATATGTACTATGCACATGCAGAAAACTCAATTCGTATGAGTCATAGATCATATAGAAAAATTACAGTATTTCTGAGTAAAATTGATATTAAGAATCACTTATCTGTAACTGACTCTCTGAATGGCATCTGGACATTTAGTCAAAAGAGGGGGGGGGGGTTTGCCTGTGGAAGACCTCATTTGAGAGCATCCCAAATTAGGAAGGGACCATCTGCGCTCTATCAAAGAGCACAGGCTCCCAATGGATATTTCCACTCAGTTCCATTTCAGCCACAAGGGCCTGTTGAAACTAAGTGAAAAAAGAAAATTCTCTTGAAAGTCACACATCATGGTACCAAATCATATATGAAATAGGGGCTGTATGAATGTACAAATTGGCTATATAAAGGAACAGAGGTACAGAAAGCAACCTGCTCTTCTTCACTGTGATCTCTACACATCACTTAAACTTATTCCCACCACCGAAGAAGCTTGATTGGCAAAAATCTGTCAGCAAAAAACCTTCCAATTACAGGAGGAATAAAACTTGAAAGGGGAAGTATAGGCTATAGAAATTAGAAGAGGAAACTGTAAGTAAAAAATCAGGAACGAGGGGAGCGGGTAAGAAAAGCAGGAAGGAGAATATGTGGGATTTTTTGTTTTAATAGAAAGATTGAAAGAGAAAAGAAAGAAAAACCTTCTGCATAATAATTCTGGGCAAATGAATAAGGCGATGATACATAAAATGGTAGTACTTTTTGAATTTTATACTGATTAAGGCACAATACCTTAATAGATGTGGAAGGAACCACCTCTCCTGTAACTTCACTATCAGTGGCTTGCTGTGAACAAATAAAGTGAGAGCAAGTGTCACACAGGGGTGAATACATTGTATTTTAAATCTGAAGTCATGAAATAATTCAAGATTAAAATATACAAAAATGTGATTTCTCCTCAAAATCTGTTTAAAACTACTCATGAAAGAAAGAAAGGAAGAAAGAAAGAAATTTGCTTTCCATTTGTTTTAAAAGAAGGTTGTAAAAACCTATGACAAATCTTTAATTTCTTGGTCTAAATGAGCTCTTATATTTTTCAAAATTGTGGACTAGTCCCAAACTTCACAAATGGAGCAATCTCACTGCAAGAAAAAGGTAGAACAGGAATTATAGCTATTCTCCTTTTCTGCGGTCACTACTACTTCTAAAAATATGTCATGCAAAAGATTTCTGCAGCTTTTGTTTTATGCTGCAGGTAGAAATCAGAATTTGTTAAATGTATCATATCACCCCTTTCCTTCAGTGGGGAAACCCTTCTGGATTATAGTTTTCTCCATCATGGAAAAAAGTAATTCCAGTTATGGATCAAAACCTGTCACAAACAGTCCGTTTACAAGTTTCAGGACTAAAGACGTTTCTAAAATATCACATGTATCCTTAAGATGCAATAACTAGAAGGAATTTCTGTACTGGGCAAATATTCATATTATTAAATGAATAATATATTTCCATGGGAAAAAGATTGCCCTACTGAACTAGCACAGAACCTGTTTGCTACCGGGCACAATTCAAAGTGCTGGCTTTGGTCTACAAAGCCCTAAAAGGCCCTGGCCCAGTTTATCACCCTTTACGAACCACCACGAAGATTAAGATCTTCTGGGAAGGCCTTGCTCTTGGTCCCGACACCATCACAGGCACATTTGGTAGGGATGAGAGAGAGGACCTTCTCAGTGATTGCCCCCCAAATATGGAGCTCCCTTCCTGGCAAGATTAGATCAACCCCCTCTCTCCTGTCCTTCACAAAGATGGTAAAGACCTGGCTGTGGGACCAAGCCTTTGGAGAAGTGCAATGAGGCAATAATGGGTGTTTAGAAATGGTTTTAAACAGCTGATTTTAAAGTAGATATAAGTGCTTTTAATGTCTGTGTATATTTACAGTTTTATGTCCAGCACTGAATGTTTGCTGTATATATGTTGTGCTCCACCCTGAGTCACTTGCAGGGTAAAAAGTGTGGAATATAAATGTTTCAAATAAATAGATAGATAGATATATAAGCTTTCAGGTTTACGCACAGACACTGAATCCAAATCGGGCAAGACAGTCACACTGAGCGAAATATCTTCACTTTTTTCAGATTTAGGCACAATGTCTGCAAGAAATAAAACAAATCAGGAAATTTACACCAACATTTCAATACAATAGTTCATACTAAACAACTACATGCTGACAATAAATGATTTAATCACCAGTAACATTTATAATCATCGATGATATCCCCTGTACAACACATATGGTGAAAATGCTAAATAAACATGACAGCAAAGCATATGAAATTTAAAAAATGACTCTAGGATTCCATCAAACCCTTGATGGGGAGGTAAAGTGTGTCTTAGAAGAAGCAATGAAATATGATATATACCCTGCCTATTTCCCAAGTAGATTTACAGAAGATTAAAATCATAACTAATTAAACATGCATACAAACATAAGAAAAAATATATAAATAATTTTGAAATGATTAAAGAATTTGAGATAATTAAACCCATTAAAATTAATTAAAACAGGTTATAAGTAACAACGAAACAATAAGACATCAGCACATCAGATCCACACCAATATGCATATGAAGAAGAGAAGGCCGAGAGGAGACATGGTAGCCATGTATAAATATGTGAGAGGAAGCCACAGGGAGGAGGGAGCAAGCTTGTTTTCTGCTGCCCTGGAGACTAGGACATGGAACAATGGCTTCAAACTACAAGAAAGGAGATTCCATCTGAACATTAGGAAGAACTTCCTGACTGTGAGAGCCATTCAGCAGTGGAACTTTCTGCCCTGGAGTGTGGTGGAGGCTCCTTCTTCGGAAGCTTTTAAACAGCTTTTAAACAGAGGCTGGATGGCCATCTGTCAGCAGTGCTTTGAATGCAATTTTCTTGCTTCTTGGCAGGGGGTTGGACTGGATGGCCCATGAGGTCTCTTCCAATTCTATGATTCTATGTGGGTCCCATCTGCATGGCATGCAAATCTATTTGTTTTACTTATTAAAGAATATGCCACCTGTATCACAAAATGTCATGCAAACAGAATCCAGATAACTAACTGGAGCGACATACAGGGAACACACCATCCCTTTGTTATGTCAGCTCCACTGGCTGCCAATCCACTTCCAATCTCAATTCAAAGTGCTGGTTTTGACCTATAAAGCTCTATATGGTTCTGACTCAGCTTACTTGTCTGAATGCTTACTTGTCTGAATGGTTCTGACCCAGCTTACTTGTCTGAATGCATCTCCCTCTATGCAGTTTAAGATCATCTGGGGAGACCCTGCTCTCACGCCCGCCAGCGTCACAAATATGTCTGGCGGGGACAAGAGACAGGACCTTCTCAGCTGTAGCCTGTGGAACTCGCTTCCCAACGAAGTAAGATTGGCTTCATCCCTCCTGTCTTATAGGAAGAAATTGAAGTTGTAGTTCTGGGACCAGGCTTTTGGACAGCAGGCATAAATAGTGCTTTGGATATGGAATTTGACTGGAATGGTGATGTGGTGGTTAATGCTGTTTTTATTGTTTTAATTAATGTTCTATTTATTGTTTTAACTGATGTTATATTGTTTTGTGATATTTAATGGCATGAAATTGTGCTAAATGTAAGCCGTCCTGAGTCCCCCTTTGGGGGTTGAGAAGGATGGGGTAGAAATACTGGAAATAAATAAATAAAATAAATAAACCCATCTAATTAAGAATTGAATGTAACTTCTTCAGTTTCTTTTTAAAAGGGAGACACACATACATTGTATCAATTTTTTGTTTTGTTTTGTTTTGTTTTTTTAAAAAAGAATGAAATGTACCTTTGGTTTTTCTGGCTTCTCTAATTATTTTCTGCAGTTTGTTCATTTCTGCATCATATTCTTCATAATTTATATCTCTAGCTTCAACTTTAGGAGCTTGAAACAAAGAAGGATCTGTGCCAAGGTAGGAACATTGCAGATGGCCACTATCACTCAGTGTGACTATCACTCCTCTCAGATTTCTGCTCCAAAAAGAAAAAAAGCAGAACAACATCATAAAATAATACAAAACATTAATGTTTGCCTCTCTTTTCTTTTCTTAGAAGTGCTTCTAAAATATTTTAAAGTACATTTTTGTCTAATGTAAGAAAATATTACCAAACCTATTTCTGTGGCAATAAGGACTAAAGAACTGCACTCAGTTTATTTTATGTAATTTCCTATCGTTAAAATATGTTTTTTCAGGCATTCATTTACACCAAAGAACTTTGATTTGGAGATTCCTCTCCACTCTTTCAACAGATGAAACATTCATTAAAAAACACACAGTATGCTACAAAATTCCTTTACCTTGAAAAATGAACCACAATCACATCAGAGGCACTGCTGTGAGATACCCTAAAGGTAATCCACGGGGGTCTCTTCATTCAAGAAAAACTCAGTTATAATATGCCAAACAGTTCATTTGTACAGCACCCAGACTGAAAATCACTCTTTCAAAAAGCCTCCATTTTTCTGGGATTTAATTTTTGTTCTGCACATGCCCCGACCCTCTATCCAGCTCATTCCTACACCCAGGTACCCGTCCAAGCTGCATGGTATTGGCTAAATCTTACTGAGATATAACCAAAAAAAAGGTGAGTAATATTATCTGCATCTCCAACAACTTAATCAAATTGATAAAAAGCAATGAAGTCAAGATTTGTATTATGGCATCACATAGTGTAATTGGCGAGTGACTGATATCACAGTAGCCCAATTACTTGCACCGACTCAGTTATTTGAACCAACTCTGAAAGAAGAATGGAATACTAGAATACAGTGCCATTTATTTTGAACTTAGAATAAAATGAACTTCTACTTTGTATGTATTTATAATGTTAGTTGGAAACCGCTCTGAATCCCCTCAGGGAGATAGAGCAGTATATAAATAAAGTTTTGTTGTTGTTGTTGTTGTTGTTGATCCAGATAGCTTTCTGTAATTCTCTAAATATTTAAATTAGAACATTATCAGTTGTTTCGGTTACCATTTGTGGAGGAAGATTTAACTTTTATTTCTCTACCACTACTGTATTTGCCTTATATACCATGATCTCTATTAAATTTATAGATTTGAAACACTGACTAGTTTCAATTACTTCTTTTTAAAATAGAAGATTTTCTAAACTACCCCAGTAAAACAGAAAGCTATAATAACACACATATATATATTGAAGAAATGTAATTGAAACAAATTATTCTGCTATCTATAATAACTTTACTGTTCAAAGTAAACGCTTTACACATATGGTAGTCATTTGGAATCTACCTTTTACTGGATTTGGGACAAAAATAAATAGCATACGCTTTTTGCTTGTCCCCTTAACAAAACAAATTGCTCACAATGTAACATATTAACAAATTCAAATGCTTCACATACTTTTTAGTCAAATAAATAAAGCAGTCATACCAGATGGATTAATAAAGTAATTGATCCATAAATTATTTGGCTGCCTGTTATTTTTTTTAATCACTACTATTCCTAGATTAAATTATTCCATGATTCTTTGGTTCTACTATTCCACTGAGGTCACATTACAGTCTTTTTTGAAGTTACAATTTACCTGTAAACACTTTAGTCTCAATCCAGTTATTAGCCCCAATAAAAGTAGTCCCTGTGAATCAAATTTAAATAAGTGTTGACATTATTCTGCAATGGATTCGATGAGTCTACTCAGCTCAAGAAAAACTGGCAAATGATTTAGGGCTCCTTTCTGTGACTTTGTTTTCCATACCATTTTAATGAGGCTTGCAATATTTTGCATTCTACTGAATTATAAAAGCATGATACTGTGCTTTGTACTGTCAGAGTTTTGAAGTGATTTGTTACAGCAACATTGTTACATGTAACGAATTATATTTTATACCCATTTTGGTCTTGATAAACATTGTGACTTATAGAAAAATGCTATAACATTCTTTTTGACCATTCCTGGGTAATGTTGCATGGCTAGAGGGGGTTGTATAAGTACTAACTATTGGGTGTACCTCTTTCCCTCATTGTTAAACTCTCAAACAGACCTAGTTTTTTCCTTCTACTCTGTTGTTTCTTCTTACTCAAATCTACATGCTCTGGAACATTCAACCTTCGTTTACAGTAGAGGAAGCAAGCTATGATCTAACATGGCCCAGGATTTTGTGGTCTGACTACAGAATCCATTCCCATAAAATGCTGATTGCCCTGGAGGTCCTGAAACTTTATTTTCCTTAAATTGAAGCAAAAAGATCAAAAAAGAAAAGAAGAGATTTAAGAAATTCTAGCCAGACATGATAGTTCAACATTTTTCCCATTCTAACCAGACATGGTAGTTGAACATTTTTCAAGGCACAAAACACAAAAAATGTTCCCACATTGCTGCATATAAAACAAATTGATTGAAGGAGTGACCATTTTATTGCTGATAATGAAGGAAGCATGGCACAGTGATCTGAGTGTTGGACTGTGACTGGAGACCAGGGGCCCTTCCACACAGCCATATCCCAGAATATCAAAGTGGAAAATCCCACAATATCTGCTTTGAACTGGGTTATCACAGTCCACACTGCCATATATTCCAGTTCAAAGCAGAAAATGTGGGATTTTATTCAGCTGTGTGGAAGGGACCCAGGATTCAAATCCTCACTGAGCCACAGGATGAACTTGAGTATATCGCATGCTCAGGGGGAAGACGAAGCTATAATTTAAGCATTTAGATTTTTAGAAACAAAACTGCATCAAAATGACAACATAAATTTCTCCAGAGGCCATTCTATTTCCCATCTAGGGATAAATGTAATTGATGTCTAAAAACTTCAGATGTGTCTCATTTTAAAGCTTTAAGGCTGCTGCTTTTATACCCCTATGATTGATTTAATTGGATTTTATCTGATTGTTGTATTTTAATCGTATTTTTTGTTTTAATTGATTGTTTTTGCTTTGATGTTTTTTGCTTTGATGTTCTGTGAGCATTTTGTTGCATGTGTAAGCCACCTCGAGTCCCTTCGGGGGATGGAGGCGGGGTATGAAAATAAAGTTATTATTGTTATTTTTGCTGGGTATTGATGGCTAATTGCTAATTCTTCACATGGCATTCTCAAAATGAAAATCATGTTCATAATCCATACAGTCCTTGAAATACAGATAAGCCTTGATTTTTTAAAAAGTATTGAAGTTAGTGTGTGTTTCTATTTATAAGTAGACCTTGAGACTACTATTTTCACTCTCAGTTCACATAAGCAGCTGGCAATACAAAGCATATAAAACGGCATTTTAACCACTGATCAGCAAATTGTCCATACTGCCACTAGATTCTGTATTCTCAAGATTTGAAAGGCTTAACACTCAACTTCACTTTTTAAAAGACAGAAACTTTTCTTCACCCATGAAAAACTTTTCTGTGTTTCAGAACATCCTGCAAAATGTTATAACTACAGAAACAAACCATATGCTGTGTATGACTCAATATGGGGCAGGGATGAGATAAAGTATTTTCTTTCTACTCTTTCCATACAGAAGCTTCCATGTGGTTTCCTATTCTGCCAACCAATTTTCACACTGAATCAGTAGTTCATTTGGGGCTTTCAAGTCTCATAATGTCTTGATAATATCATTCCTTAATAAAACAAAAATGTATGTTTCTGCCAAGTTCTGTATTGGCTTAAGTTCATCTGGTCTACGTTACCAATTGACTCAACTATGATCTTTACTTACTGTTCACCTACTATGACTAAAGGACCAAACAATATATAACACTGGAAAACTGACTGGATCTCCTTGCTTCTTTTTTAATTCCTACACCGCGTTTCTTTATTTCAGGGACCCATCAACTTGTTTAGAGCAACTGTGAAGTAGTTATTTAGTTCTTTCCCTCTGCCCAGTTTTCCCAATGAAAATCTACCTCCACAATGATTTTTGCCATGTGGGGTATGGTTGAAAATAATAACTATCTCTGTATTTCTCTCCTCACAGGACAAGCTGCAACAGGAAAGAAGAATTTTGATTGATACCAATGCCAGGCATAGCACCCAGACTTTTCAAGCTCATGTATATAAACATGTGCCTTCAATTTGCCTGTCAACATAAGATAGACCAATGATTTTGTAGGGTCTTTCTCTGTAGTCTGTAACACCTGGTTTCCCATGGCAGGGCACATGCAAGTATTACCATGCATAACCATGCTTAGCTTCCAAAATCAAAAAGGATATGGTGTTTAGGGGGAATTTGTGCCTCTTGAAAGCTACCCAAGAACTGTTTTTTTTAAAAAAAAAAATCAACCAAGAGCTCCAGTCATTAGGCTTGTGCACTGATTCGATTTGGCCGGTTCCCTTCGGCTAATCCGACTGGTTCGACTTGTTCGACTGTCCGTAATGGCAATGGCTCAGCCTCCATGTTTTTTTCCAGCCACAACAGAACAGTGGCTGTTGAAAACCACCTGCCTTCAGTTACAACTGGAGTGTGGGAGGAGGCAGCTACTAGAAGGAAAAGTGCCAAGGGAAAAAAGGCATCACTCCATGGCCTGAAAATCAAGAGAAAAGAAAGGGCTTTTTAAAGGAAGCCCAGGGGAGGATAGTTCCAGGTCAATTGCTCTTCCTTCCCTGGGAAGTGGGGTTGCCTCCTTAACATGCCTTGGAAAGCTGTGTGCTGCAAGGAGAGAGCAATGTGTATGCACCTATCTCTTCTAGAGTAGAAACAGCATTAATGGAGCATTAAACCCAAAACAGAAAGGAGATTGAAGTGTGGGGGGAAAGGCACTATGGATCACGACCCCCACCGAAATCCGGGACACCAAAACAGATAGCAGTTTACCTGAGTTGCATAAGCTTAATAATCTCTCTCATAATTAACGATAGTCTGTTTGATTGCTGCCTTATGTTAATCCTTTCCAAACAACGACTAGCATCATTTTGCTAAACATAATATCTATGCTGCATGTTTAAGGAATAATAATCAAAGACTAAAAATATAAAGCACCATCCAATTGATCAAAAGTTAGAAAATGAACAT